AAATTTTAGGTCAGTGTAAATTTTAAAGAAAATTGATTTAGTGTATAATAGAATAAATTCGAAATTAGAATTGAACTCAAAACAGTAATGTTGAATCTTAAATTCAATGACTGAAAAAAACTAAAAACAGTGAAACATGAATGTATTGAAAATTATAAACTAAATCACAATTCACACTAACTGTTCTTTAGTTGGAGTCAAAAAATTTCTAAAATTAAATGGAAATAAGGCTAAATCGCTCAAATCTGGACTGTTACTTAACATGTTGCTAAATAATACTGCTATGATGATGTGTGTACAAATGTATAGTAGACTAGCAGAAAATCAACATGTACTATTATCTACTCTAATGAGAAGTTTGTGTGAACTGTAAATGATTAATATAGAACTTCAATTATGTATCAGGGAAAAATATACCTGATTAATACTGCATTCTTGTATATTATGAGAATAATTTATGACCAAAAACAAACCCAGTAATGCATAACCTTATATTTTATAAAAAAAAAAAGAAATTTACCAACTGATAAATTCATTAAGAACCACGAGGCATAACAAAAGCTTATTATATTAATTTGTTAATGCAAAGCAACAAACCTAGACTTCAATTTGTTATAGTTTGTTTTCCCCCGGGGGAAAAAGGGGGGAAATTTAAAAAAATACTGGGGCTTTAGTAAAAATAATTTAGTTTTACGCAAAGTAAAAAAAAATACTTTGTAACTTAGGGAGGGAAATTTAAAACGTTTTACAACCCTTCAACTAAATAAAATAAAAACATAGTAAAAAAATACCCTTCTTATGCCTGACAAAAAAGGGAATGCCCTTTTTTGGGGGGGACCAAATGCTGTCCTTTTTCTCATTGAAAAAGACGAAACTACCCGAGTTTAAAAAAGGGGGATCCAAACTGGGGGTAAAAAAGTAATTGTTTTTTACCCTGTCAACCATTTAACTATTTATTCCCCATTTAAATATGATCGTTTTTTGTTTGGTCTGGATCTGTACAAAACCCTTGGGAAAATTCTGTTGAAGAACGGTAACTTTCTGGACTCGAAAATAGAAAGGTATCTACTAAATCTGTAATATGACAAGCAACGTTTTTGTGGATAAATTCTGATTTGTAAATGTCATAAGTTCCAAAGACCGGCACATCTGTTTCCTGACTGATGATGTCTCAAACTTTCAAAAGAGTGTACCGTTGGTCCAGTTATCCAAAAAAGTTGCCGTGAAATGAATTGCCATTTTCGTCACGAAATTGAATATGAAACCGGAGTCACCGTCCCAAAAATTCGCTTCCAGCAGATCAATAAGGTAACTGTCCGCCGTAATACGTAATTAGTTCACTTTAAATAAAGCGTATAACTTTAAAAATAGATAAATTTTAGTAATAAACAAAGGCGAGAATCATTCCTCGCCAAAATTATTTCTTTGTGATAGATCTAATGTAATCATTGGTTAATTAGCATCACGTGATTTAGGTCTTGGTATTGATTGGCTAAGATGTACTTGGCTAAAACCCGACCCGTAACGGGTAATATTCAGTACAGTAATGAGAATAGGGACGGACCAATGACATAAATTATTTTATGTGGGCATAAAATCTTATAAGTTGATTTTTAAATTATCACAAGTATAAGACAGATTTCTTTCCATTTTTTGAAAATTTTGATTCAGCAATGTTTTGAGATAGTACCCTGACATGATTCCGTGTTGACTAATCGGTAACAACTCGTCTAGGTAGCATGGAAAGCATACACACCGATATTTTCATGATTTTGACGGGGTGTGCACTCACATGCCTTTAGTTATACGGCGACATTACCGGCTTATTGTCATTCAGTGGCTCTTACATTTCTTAAATCTGTCACTTCGATATGGCGAATGCTAACATAAGGTGACATTTGAGAGAAGTGGTATGAAAATAAATATTTCATAAGTGGCGGTAGCCACGAGTGCAATATGATAATTTTCATGCCACAAGATGAAAATAAATCATATAGAATAAACTTGAATTTTCTGTTTATTATATACATTTTTTCTTTTTTGACATTAAAATTTGAAAGACTTTCCCTTAAATTTTGTGAACTGGCAGAAATTAAAAGAAAGTAGACACCAGTGAAAATACGGAAAATATGTTTCGCTGCAGTGAAAAATATTTTTTTTACAGTGAAAATACGGAAAATGAAAATACGCATTTTATTTCATCAATATTTCTCAATATTTCATTTATAGGTATAAAATAAATAATGAATATCAACTAACTCTTAAGATTTGACGATGCTTTACTTAGTGATGTCAGACGACAGAGAAGATTTATTATTACGCAAAACATTTATTTTTTGAAGAATTTTCTGTATTTGTCTTTCGGCATTCAAGGCACTGCACATTTCTTCTACGAGAGTGTAGAGTTTCGGTCAAGAAGAAGGAAGTGCAAGTGCTTTTTTTAACCCTCAAGGGATTGTAAAACTATAAAAAGAATGTGTTTATCATTTGTACTTTTTTACACTAGTTCAAATTCAATTTGGAAACTTATAATGTTAAAAAAGCACAAATTTGTTTTGTTTTCATATCAAACCCTAGTACTATTTCAAGACACCCCATGATTGATTATTTATCTAAACAACGTCAGTTTAGAACACCTACATTGGAAAGTCTGATTTCTGAAACAAATAAAATACCGGGTACCTATTCCTTTTGTTGGAGGCGACACACCACTTCCAGTGACATCTGCTACTAATGTGGTAAAATAGGACATTTCCGGAGAGACTACATTTAGTTCAACAATACTCCAAACTATATTACACAGCTTGATTTTAACAAAAGTCCAGAGTTTCCGCCTTCTTATTACTGATAAGTATTAATTAAACCTTTTTTAGCTGATCAATCTTTGAAATAAAAGAAGAAAAAAGGGAAAAAATTAAGTTATTTTCATTTTCGAACGTACATTCTTCCAGTGTTTAAGATAGACACAGATAGCAGATATTAGGGCAACTGAAAAGCATTTTTTTCTGTCTATGTCTAGGATTCATCATTTACTTTACAACAACACCGCCTTCTTGTTCAGGTTATATTTGTCTGCCTTTGAAGCATGAGACGCATCATATACATATGACGTAGATTCAAGGACGGGTAGTATATTTTAAGTCAGTTTTACCATCTTTAAATGTTTTGTGTCATCTAATCTGTCCTTTATATAAGACAGAGACCCCATGTATTTGACACAATTCATCATATATCAGAGTGGCTGATATGTTTAGATTAACACAGCTTGATATATAGATCCTTGTGTCAAAGCTTGACACAGTTTACAAATGTAGCGTATACCAATTATCACGTGACAATGAATCGACTTGGTAACTAAATAAGTTATTTAGAATCTTTAAATTTTTTACAATAAAACTATTGAACTCTGAAATGCCTGTTTATCTTACTTGAATTTTCAATGTAATCCTTAGTGAACACGGGAGATAACTCTGAAATAAATGCCCGTTGTCATGATTTGAAATTTCAAGTTTAATTTCACTTCAATAATACTAAATTTTCTTCTCCATCATTGTCCTAAAATTATTGGCAATACAAATTAACTGAATCAATATATTATCTGGTTAATTAGCCTCTACAGATAGCATTGCACCGTAAAACTGAAGATAATGGTGATTGAAAATCCTATTATATAGGTATTTCTTAGCTAGTATTCAGTTACAAGGCTGGTTTAGAACAATTCAAATCAATATTTGTTTGGCATAAACATATACAATGTTCATCGCCAATGCACAACTGTATGGCGGCTATAATGTACAATTGAGAAAAGTGTGTTATAACAAAGTTACAGTTGTAGATAATACAAACATTTAATAATTGATTAGTCAATCAATGACATTAGTCTTATACAATTCTTTTAAATTATTTTACAATATCAACACAATGCAGGAAGTAGTTAACAAGCTATAACAATAAATACAAACTCATTTTTAAAAAATGATGACAAAATGCAATATGGTCATTACATATTTCTTTTAACATTAGCTAAATATATTAATCTTGAGGTTTTGTTTAAAATGCTGCTCTGAGAACTAGATAATAATGTTCAAATTAGGCCAACGACAATAATATTTCGGCTAACATGCGTTTCTTATTTCTCTATAAGAAGGCAAACTAGTAAAAAATGATATTCGTTTTCAATACGACTCATATTACATTTTGTACATATTCTAAGTCTTCTGTCAATATATATATGCCTTCCTTCTTCAATAAGTAGATTATGAGCGGAACATCTTAGCCTAGATAATGCAATTCTGTGATTAATATTAGAGATACTTGATAAATATTTCTCTGTACAAAAATCTGTCTTTATCAAACAATATGTTTCTAGTTTTGGTGAGTTACGAAGTTCAGAATAAAACTGTTGAATATACTGATCATAGATTGATCTAATAACACATTGAAACTGTAAATTTGTTACAAATGAATTATTCCATAGGTATTTTTCATCTACTGTTTCATCTAGAATGTTCTTAACATTTTTAGACCATTTATTTACTGGATTACCATTAAAATCATGCTTCATAAATAATTTAAACATAAGAGAATTTGTGTTTGACATTATCTTAAACCAATATTTATAATGTACTTTTAAGAATATGATCAACACCACCTTACTTACGAATGTTTTTTTTCCAGAATATAATGGAAATGAAGGTAGCCTACCAGCATTTTCACTTTTGTTTAAAAAAAGATAAAATGTGTTATTCTTACTTGCATTTGATTATTAAATTGATTGTTATTATAATTGTGTCACAAGTACCTGGTAATACGTTTACTTGTATCTTATCTTTCCTAGTCAAAATCTTATATTTGTAGAGTTTGCTTGTTACTAAATTCTTTTATTCTATCATTTGGACTCTTAAAAGAATATGAATTTGTTTTTACTCATATGCATTATGAACAGTTATTAGACTAATTCCAAATATAAGACAACATTTGAATACTAAAAAACCAAGTCACAAATTTATAGCATTATTATTTTTCTTTTGTTAACAATAATGTGAAAGAATTTAAGCGATTTAGTAAATTGAGGAACAGTCGGGAGGTGTGAACGCATCTGGATGCGCAATTTGCTTCTGTAAAGTGCACAAGTTTGTCGTCATCAGAGGGCATTTTCCGCTATCTATGCTGAAGGATCCTAAAGTAATAATAAAACGAATGTTTTTGTATTGCGAAATGAATTACATATTTTATGGATTAAATCAAATTAAAAAAAAATGATACAAAAATGATATAACAGTTATGGTACAGTAATATATACCGAAAATACAATTGGTACATTGTCATTTGTTTCCATTTTATGTCGATACAAGGAATAATTTAATTATTTTTTTATTTACCTGTAATAACATAATACTTATTCTTCTTCAGCAAAACTCCACACGCAGCACTTTCTGTTGGTGTATATAATTTACTGAAGTCTGGGTCCTTTGGGATATCCTATGCGATTATAAAATTATATTTTATATATACAATCACTTTGAATGTGTGATCTAGCAAGACATTATCCTTTTGGATAACAAGTTCAAAAATGATGAATTGTAATACCTGAGCTATTTGTCAAAATATTTACGGCATTTTTATTAAAGCACTGCGCTGTTCTAATTACCAGTATACCGAGTATCTAGAGCACTAATGTGTTTTTTTAACATTTTCCCCATATTAAATCACATCTATTGCAACAGGTTTGCTAAAATATAATTGTATTTACAAAATGCATTTACCAGACTAAATCCCCGGTTTTTTTATTATAAAAGATATGCATCCTAGGTTGACTTTAACAGGTAAATAAGAAGATTTCGAGAATGCTCAACTTGGCAAAATCGAAAATATTGCAGGCTCGGTTAGGTTTAAAACGATTCTTTTTCATTATTTATTATGATTCTTATCAAATTTTAGAAACAAAAGCTTAATGACGTCGTTTTTAAAAGAAAACAATCCTATCTTGTCTTGTATAAGAAGAGTCAAACATTCGTTTCAGTAAATGATTATATTCTTGAATGGTGAGCTTCAGTATGATGAGTACTTTTCAGATGTCATAAAACTTACAAAAGGTCTGAATTGGACTAAAAAGTCGACGTCATACACTCTCCAGTTCCAAGTGACAATACCATCGTCTTTAATGTAAAATATCCCAGCTGAAAAGATATTAAACTTTCATAATAGTAATATAATGATAATGGTACACTTTGTGTTTTATTTTATTTTATAAAATAAAGTCAATGGGATTGTAGAATAAAGATGTAAAAAATTGACAAGAGATACTTATTTAACATTTATGCCCCCGTTTGTTTCTTCTGGTCTTAACGTCGATTGTAACACAAGTTTAGTCATATCTCGACAGTTGATCCACCAAACAAGCTTCCCTCGATAACTTACCAGTATTTACTTATTTCTCCGCAAGCGACCGACGACTTATACATGCATTTTCAATCAGCAATGAGAGACACAAAACCATTAGATACCATGTCGGAGATCAATTTTCACAGATAAATTACACCTCGCCCTAGGCCCTAACAGAGATCCCTTGATTATTAGTTCACTGTTGTCCCTATTGAGCTGTACAAACAAAATCTAATGCAATGCATATTGACATGTTTTTATATGACAATATTGCGCCTGCTTTAACGTTGTAGTACTGTCTAGGTCTGGTCTATGAACCGACAGATCTACGGATATTCAAACATGCTCAAAGAAACTTTTCATCAAAGAGAAGTGGGAGGGGAGTGGAGCAAACATAAGCCTTATCGTTTGTTTTAAAAAAAAATACTCAAAACCCTATTTGCATTAAAAAAATATATATTTATAATATGATGTTGTTAACAGTTACATGTTCTATTCATCATTTGACTTCAAAGATTGAATTTGTTTGTAACAAAAAGAAAATCAATCACACGAGTGAAAATGAAAATTCCGATTAGCTTTGTGTGTACATAATAAAAATATTTCAACTTACCTAATGGGTCGTTGCAAAATTGTTCTATCCAGGTTCTCGGTTCGCAGGTGCATGCCGAAACAGTTGTTATTGACAAAGACAAGAGGAATGAAACAGCAAACAACAGTTTTGACATCTGAAAGAATGTGTCAATGTTATATAATAAAGACGTATTTCAAGACTTTTAACAATTAAATCAAATTTGATTATCAGAAAGTCATAAATTTAATCAAAAACAATCGACCAGAAACGTTTAACCTGACCAGACCCTTTTTTGCTGATGATTGTCACCATTTTGGTATTTTGAAATAACTGAATTAGAAATATAATCTTTAATTTTTAAGTAGGAAAGAACACAACATTTATCAGATAAAAGTTCTTAAAATCTAAATTTTGTACCCTGTTACCCGAGACATTTCAAATTCGTTTATGGAAACAACTGTCAAATTGTCCATATACAGTGAAAATGAGTATTACGTTAAATGGACAACTTTTAATTAACAATGTTGTGAAATGAATTCAAAGGCAGTAGAATTTAATTTAAAACAAATCCTTCAGATTTAAATTAATTTGAACGTGTTTAAGAAATGCACTTACTAAATGCTTGTATGTTATTTTATCGATTTATAAATGTGTTGGTTGTATGATTGCATAAGCTAGATGTATGTTATGCTAAAAGTGTATTACAAATGTATCAATGTCCGAAAAAAGAAACGCCCGCTTTTGTAGGGGAGATTCAAGTTCTGGAGAGTGCGATCAGCAAATTTAAAAGGCATTTTCCTTCTGGAAATCCGATACCACTAAAAGTCCGAATAAGAAACAAAAACTATGATCTTAATGAAAGGTATTAAGTACGGTTTGGAGTTTTGATGCGCAAGAATTGACCATGAAGGCCGTAAAACAGAATGGTTTATTTTTTCGCATCAAAACGACAAGTTTCGTAGTCATTGTACATGCATGCAACTAAAATAAATAGAGAAATATAAATATTATAAGTATGTTGTAAGGAAACTTACATTTACTTGCTCGCTGCGTGTTCCTTCACAATAATCCACAAAACTACGCAACGTTTCGTTTTAAACAAGTGGTGACAACATTTCACTTTTAATGTTAATATATATAATAGAGCAAATAACCTTGATGAACAATGCATGCATTACTTTTTTCATATGTGATATGATTTTGCCCATTAAGTATTCATTTATTATTTTCTTTCTTAATTATAACCATACTTTTGTGCTTCATGTTTATGTTTATTTCTAACAATTAAAATTTTTGGTTGACATTTGCAATTAACTTGTCGTAAACGTAACATTTACATTTTACTGAAAAGTTCTATTTGAACAGTAGTTTCCTTGTTGAATGATATTTATAGTGTTTTATTGTCCTTGCAAGTGACTGTTACGTACTTGATTATTAGAAGGAAATGAAAATAATATTATTCAGTTTAATATCATATAACTATAAATTAAGAAATTTTATGCACGAGCGTCATAAGTTTTTGTTTTCCGTATAAACATTTAAGGTATTAGCACCACCCTAATGCATTACCTCCGCTTTGAAGAGTATTCAAATAGGCTAGAACTACTGTTAACTACATTGAAAATGAGGGCCATGGGTTCAATCCCCAGAAGGGTCAACTTTTTTTTCCTTTTTTTCTTTTAACATTATTTATGTATCTCTAATGTCCCATTTGGAAAGAAAAAAGTGTTTAATTTTGATTTTTCAATTTATATAGGTAATTATTGGCTAAATTATGCTAAATCTAGTAATAAATATGGTACCTGATATTTTCAAAGTGTAATATAATCAAAACTAAACGGTAAAAGTATTTCATATTTTACAAGATCAACCAATATACTTTTTTAAAAATGTAGGGGAACTTTGAAAACAGGCACTCATTTCGGTAAATTTTAAGATTTTTTTTAATTAGGCTCCCTAAGTAGAAAAATGGTCAGACACTTGGTAAAAATGGGTGGGGTAGGGTAACATTTTTATACAGATTTCATAAATTTTAAGTAGAAACCATAATTTTGCTTATTTGGATTGTTAGCTGAATGGTACTATTTGTTTCTTACCAAAAATTAATGGGAAAACATTTTTCATTAGAATGTTATTGCAGATTATTTAAAGGTTCCTACTTTCTAAAAAAGGGCCCTCATAACATCCTAGCTTGAGTTCAGAAAAGTGGCCATAACTTGATTTCCGTACGGTAAACTTTGTTTAAATTTTGCATACATGACTTATGATGTCAATTTTTTAGTTCCTGATATTGCCCATTAGGGTCCTAACACCTTAATAATACAAGTGACATAGAGATAAATATTTTAGATAGTTAACATTAAACATTCACAATATAACACTGACATTTCAAACCAAGGTTTCGTTTGTATGTGAGATATGTGTCATTCATAAATAATAATAAAAGAACAATTATAATCACGAATGTCTTATAATATATTTGATTTTTATCTAATGCAGATGAAATTCTTTTTTGTTCTCACATGTCAATTTTCATATTATTTAGATGTCAACAATAATTATCATAAGCATTCAAGATGATATCACCAATTTCTTTTTATACCGAAATATACTTTATTTCTATTAGGATGTCAAGTATATACATTTGTTATACATTATCAGATTAGACTCTCTTTTTTTTGTTTGCATTTAAAAGCACGTGTAAGAACTACTTTCAATTCGTATGAAGTCCGAGGTTATTATAAAAAATAGCCGAGATGTTCCGATTGTGTAGATTGGTCATCACTAGTGGATGATTTTTATTAGTTTTGTGGAAGTGGGACAACGATCAAGGTAATCGGGCCCTTTATCACTAAAACCCTGTTCCACTAGTAACTCGAAGACGCTTTGGTCTCTTTTCTTCTGATTTCGCTTGGAGGTTGTCAACGCTAAGTATACCTCTATCCATTTATATATTTATTATTCATCTTATAGTTTTATACTTAAATCAAACACAAACTTATATGCACTACATTGAAAGTATACGTATATGGTACCTTTGATTTATAACATAAGTTCGTTCTTAGTATAGTAATATAGTTTGTGTTTGCTTTCATTTCTTGTTTTACAGGAAATCTTACGCTTTTTGAAGCTACAAATTATTGAAGTGCTGAGTAAATACACAAAGTAAAGTGAAATGTTCCAGCAAGGAAAGGAAGAAACGAACGGGTAGCAGAAGGGGCTTAAAAAAGGGCGAAATAATGTCATTTGTTTGAGTTAAAATGTTAGGAAAAAGAAAGAGGGTTGAAGAAATTATTATGAAATTAAAATCAAACCTGGCACTTTACTGTCAGATAGGCCTGCAGGTTTCTCATAAAAAAAGTTTCCGACAGAAACTTCGAATTGCGAAGAGAGTAACAATGATGTGGATACACATTTAGACTTTTTTAAACGTTTCGTCTACATTCAGGATTTGACAAAAATATAGACAGTAAGTCCCGCATCATTCCCAACGAGCAAAATGCTTGAGATTTACACAGGCATTTAAAACTTAAGTGACACGCTAGCAGCTGACAAAACAGTTTTAAATTGAAGTTAAATTAAAATACTGTAAACTAAAAATGCGTTTTGAGTTCATAGCAAGACTAACAAGAAAATAGGCATAGAGATAAATGAAATCTTACTCTGACGATATTACGAATCGTTTAAGATGTTTAAATGAGAACATCTTTTTTCATAAAAGTTGTTAATCAGTTTAAATTTTGTTTACAAAAGAAAGATAGAAAAAAGTACAGAAATGAAGCTCAATTTTCTGAGCAATGCAGTGGAGGTTCTGTCACTTCAAAGAACCTCCAAAAAATTAATGTTTAAGCTAACTAAATCCTTTCACCAAAAACAGTCGAACCAATTGCAGTATAGGAAGAATAACATAATATAGTGTAAATAAAATGAAGCGATATGCTCAGATATAGAAATATGCAGAGAACACGATCTAAGAATTATGATAATCAAACATGTTTCAAGAAAGAATGATGTATCGTAAATGATTAAATCATATTCTAGCGGGTAATTCACACACCTCATTCTCATTAACGAATAAGAGTTAAGATTTAGTAAACGCAAAGTACAATGCACGGCAGATCTAAAAATAGTACTGATAGATAGTACTCAATCTATACATGTATGAAACAGTAGATAAGATTTTAGAACTAAAAGTGATATAGTGCATAATCCCCTCTACTTTGTTTTCATACTTGCGATAACGGTTATATGATATCTAATTTAGATGCTATGATCTTCTATATCGGATATCGAACACTTAAATTAGAACTATGTTATCTATAAATTGTAATTATAACTGTTTGCACCATAGATGTTAAATTTATGTCAAGTCACCATCCTACGCAAGTGTTATATTAATACTTAGATTATTCAGAAAATACTAAGAGTACAATATCAAACGCATAGCAAGTTACAAATGCAACCGAACAACCCTTATAATCAAAATAACTGGTGATGTATAAAAGTAAATAATATGTCTGCAAACTATTGAAATAAAAATCAAATTGAAATAACGAATATGATCCAATTGCAATGAGTCCGAATAAAATTACAAAATGACAATTCATTAGTGAGATAAATTAAAATTCAAGATGAACCATTAAACTATTTAAAATGGCCCTCTGAAATGGTTACGCCACTGTATTGATCATGGGAGCTAACTGCTACAGACTGTTTATATTTCAATAGACCGAGGATATATACGTACCACTTGAAACAATTATAACAGGTGTTGTAGTATTTTCCGTAAACTCTCAATTTAAATTAAGCGGCATTCGGGTAAAGTTTTTTTTCATTAACTTTAATAGCATCGAACTATATAAGGACGCATCTATTAGTTGTTGTGTTTGAAATTGACGGAATATAAAGATGATATAGCCTTCCAAAAAAAAACAAAAAAAAAACGGCGTACACACTGAATATAACATGAAAAATGATAAGGTTCAAGATACATACAATGTAATTAGATATCATTTTTTTGCAAATACGCTTCTAATATTATGATTTGAGCGAATAGATGTTGTTCGCTTTTTGGTAGATTGAGCAGAATACTTAATTAAAATCAGTTTCCTAATCTACGATAAATGTGTAATATTCTATTCCATCCTCGCCAACAAGGTAGTTATCCGTCTATGTGACCTAATTTTTGGTTTTATGTGGCTATAGGAACAAGGTTACAGATGTATTACTGATCTCTTATTTATGCCGCTAAATTACTTTGTTGAATTAAGTGACCGTTTTAGTATCACTTATATAACAGATTTTCTTAGCATTTCAATATGTAACGTTTTAAGTATCGTACTTCAAAACAAAACGTAGTTATCCTCTTACTGAGCGAAGCCAATGAAAATTGATCAACAATAGCTGCTATAAATTATTACAAAAAAAAACTACTATGTATTCACAAGGTAAATAAATGAAAAAACTTCCTTTTGGTAACTTACGATAATATAGAAAAGATAGTGACAATATTAGTGTAAATGTTTGTTTATCTATTTAAACCATCATTTCTGTTCAATGCTAGAAACAGGTTAGTGATTTGTTTTAATTTTCTGTATTATTGCTTGACAAGCTAAACATCCTCATTCATAATAAAGATCTTTTCGAAAATTTTGCTTCTTTGTACGCCTAGCTAGGATTCTATTGTAAAAGTTGCTGACATACTGCCTCTACTTTATTTTTTTGCCGACACAAAATATTGTTGATTTTCTGGCATCGTAACGTTTTTTTTTGTTTTTTTTATTTATTTTGTAATCCCTTTATTCCTTATTCAAAAGAGTATAATTACCCTTAGAATATGGTGTTTGCTTTTTTAATTTGATTAAAGACATGCAAGCTTCATCCTTTTATGACCTATCAATAATCTATTTATTTTATTCCGCCAATTGTTTTCTTTTTATGGGCTCTCGCATTCGTTTGTTTGTACACCAAACGCAGCTTTTCATGGAATGGTACGAAAATGTAACGTGCCATGATCACCGCCGTATAAACACATCTGCTTTAGATTCTATATTCCAAATTTTACCATTTCTGTGAAAGTGCCATGAGCGTGGGCTGTAATATGCATTTACCATGAACATACTCAAACCTAGATTGCGCTATCTAGAATGTACGCTTCTTCAATTTCAAATGCAATAAAAGTTTTACTCTAAAATATTATGTATTAATTCCTGTTGCCTGAATTTTAATCAACGTCTGTCCTTGACAAATAAAACGCTTTCAAATCGCATGTTTTCTATTACCGTTTGATTTAACTCATATTTAACTATGTTTAAAAGCTACATTTAATACAATATATATGTAAATAGTGATATAAGCTTATCAACGTTCGAATACATAAACACCTTTTACATATTATACATAAAAGTCTCTTTTTTGTATTTAAACATAGATTATCATAGAGTAGACATGTGATATTTATAAGTATCGTGACATTGCTATACATGATACATGTATTTATATGTTAAAATGCTATGTTATGATTAACTGTATTGTTCTTCTTGAGATAATTTATTAACACCTTTACTGTTAATACTGTAATTTCTGATAATTAAGTTACGCGTCAGTAAAACTGTTACATTGTTAAAGCTACTTGTTTTAAATTTTCTTGTGCAAGACATCTAAAAAAAATTCAAAACCCGAATAATCTGCTGATGAATTGATGATCCGTTCTTAAAAAAAAACATAAAATATATTGTATTCGAGAATCACATATAACTAGAGATGTTGCTTAAATTAAATATTATTCTCATCTTTTCTATCATACTTATTCAAAAAGTAAGTATTTTAGAAGATAATCTCTTTCAACGCAGATATTTATGGGTTCGTTGTATTGTTTTAAGTATCATCTTTCAAGTACCGTCAATAAAACACCGCAAAAATAAATCGTTTAAAGTTATGAGATTGTAGACAGGATACGATATACATGTAAAAACTTCCTTTTTGCAGGTTTATAGTGCGACAGTATGGTGAAAAGGATGACAAGTTTTAGTGTTCTTGTTTATTTGATACTTAATATTTTCATATGCAAAGGAGTTACAGGTAAGCTACAGTTTTCTTTACTCATACTAGAACTAACGTAAATTTGTGAAAATCCCATTTAATATGTGCGGATATTTCTCTGTTATTGTGATTTTATTTGATAACTAGCTCATTGTGCATAGGTTTTTGAAATCAAAGATTTTTTCAGCTAATATTTATCTCTCTCATCGATATCACTAAAGCCTAGTGCACACTGCCGATCAGCGTATATCGATTACTCGACTTAATGTCTTTAGCCTACTTCTTCACGACCACTATTCTTTGATATGAAATCATCGTATGAGCATACCGGATCCCCTCATAGACATTCATGACTCCTTCACATGGAAACAAATCCAGCTGGATTATATTTAACACAAAATCTGACAGTTTTGTTTTAGAAGTCTTCAGCGCTGTTTTAGGCTGTCGATTTATCGCTAGGTTACAGCTAACTGTGCAGTCTAGGCCAGACTTCTGTATTGAATTTCCGATAAACTTACATAAGAAGAAATGACCCATTAACCTACCTTAGAATTTTTAATAATTTTCTAGGAAAATGGCATGCCTGACATATTAAAATGATCTTGTTACAAAGGGTTGACACGCCAAATTTTTCGCAAAATGTCCCCAGAAATGATTCCCCTACCCCGTTTAATTGAAATCGTCTGCTGATCATAGGACTGTCATATACCTTTTTGTTTAAATGCAAATATCCAGCAGATCATTTGTTAAAAAAAAAAACACTGCAGTGTCGGAAACCTAAGCTCATTCATGTCAACATATACGCATTTGCAAATACATCGTAGTTCAAATAGGTCTTACATGTGTAGCTACAATGCATCAACCATCGTACTAATCAGGGAAGGCATCGATGCGAGGAATTAATTTATCTACTGGACAGGATAGATAGTGCATTGCATTAGTATTTGTTAGATTTAAGGCATGAACTTTTTAGTGTTTAACTAAATTTATAATGTTTTGTCTAGATATATTATGATATAATTTATGCGAGTTTTTATTGTTTAATTAAAGAAATGAACGAATAATTATCAAGATGATAGAATTTATTCTATGTTAACAATGTTTTCTCACTTTAAATAGGTGCATACTGCATAACTGTCCATGTATGACTGTCCATGGTTATTGGCTGATGAAAGACATTAAGTTATGTTAATCAATGTGCTTAAAGCAACATAAAGTAACAGATAGCCAATCCATCTGTATTTTGCACTTTGATTAATACGTTTGAATCCAACAAAGTGCTGCTTTTCTATTTTCAATTCATTGCTATTTTCCTGTTACAAATGTATTTTTGTCTACTACAAATGTCTACTTTTTTATTACTTGTATATGTAATTCATGACATTTTCTCAGAAAGGGTACGCTTGACTTTTTACGCACCAAAACTGTGTATATGTATGCAAGATAATAATTTTACATGAACTAGTTCTTATACATGAATATGCAAATACAAACATTGAATACAAAACTTGAATAAGGTATGACACATCGAAACTGAATAGTTGCAATCTCGATGAACAGACTCAATCAAACCGAGTCTGCAACATTTTCAATTTTGCCGTGTTAGGCCTCACTCATTGATTCTGCTATTTTATTGTCACACCAGTGTTATTTGATCCGTGTGGCGGCTGTAAAAAGTATCCTCATACATTTAATAAAAGATGTTATATTTCGATCCTTGAATACCGTTCAGAAGACTTTTTTGTGTATAAATGTTATGTGGTATTTTTAGTTTCTCTATTTGGTCTTTATAACTTGGGTGGTTCCAGTTTTTCTATTTGAATACTGTATAATCACTCTTAGGATATGTTGCCTGCTTTTAAATTTGTCTTTTGACGTTTTTCCTGTGATATGCAGGCTTCAAAACATCAGATCCCGTTTCGAAATTCCATTTTATTTAGTTCCGCCCTTTGTTTTCTTGTTTAGGGCACGCGCATTTTTTAACATGGTGAACATATTCCGCTTTTCTCGGAATGGCACTACTGTGCCACATTGAAGGTTCCATGTTAACCGCTTTATGAACACATATGCTGTAGTTTCCAAATTCAAAAAAAAAATAGTGAAAAGCATCCCTAAAGAAAGCCCAACAAGGCACAACTAAAAATGTTGCAGGCTCGGTTTGACTGAGCCTGTTCATGGACGGTACTGGTAGGTGCAAGTTACCGTCCAAGCCCCTGGCACCTGTTTAAGCAGAATTCAACATTAAAACACTAAAAATGTGAAATTTTGAACTAGGAAACATCCGCAGATTTGTTCATACGGCGGTTATCATGGAACCTTCCACCAATTTCGTGTTTAAATGCTGAATACTGATTTCCATAGATTGGTATATAACTTGATATATACTTGTTACTGATGCTATACATATGAAATGGGTACTTTTATTGTTACAGTAGTAGCAGGCATAGATTGTCATTTTGATATGAACTTCTGTGATTGGCGTCAAGATATCTATGACGATTTTAATTGGACAAGAGGTGAATCAGATGATTTGTATACTGGCCCTTATTCCGATCACACTACAGGAAGTAAGATTTATTACAGCTTGAATGGAAGAAATGCTTAACCTGTAAAATAACAGTAGTAATGTTTCATTTGCTTTTTAATCAATGATAATAGTGTTAAATATTTGCATTAAAACAAAAATAAATTTAAAGCAATGAAAATACTTATAAAGAAATATTAAAGCTCTCTTTAAAAAGGACAACAGCATTTAAACACTTAATAGATTTGCATGGTTTATGACTGGTGTAAATTTTTTAATGTGTTAAAAAGAGTGCTCAAAGAATTTGGAATAGTAAAATCATAAATTTATTGAATAAATGCGTATTTACATAAGCTTTCTCTTGTAGAGGGTTACTACATCTACGTAGATTCATACAATAATGACAAAGGTACAATAGCAAGACTTATCAGTCCAATGCAGTCATCAGGTCAATACTGTTTAACATTTTGGTACAGTATGTACGGTAGAAATATTGGAGCCCTCAACGTTTACATTGAAATGAAAGACGGGAACAAAACTGTTATCTTCTCAAAAAACAAGGACATAGGCGTGCGTGATTGGTGGAAATCAGTTTTGAACATAAATGCTTATGACACATATCAAGTATGTGTGATATCTATATACAAATGAGCATAACCAGTGTATTAGTTCATAATGAGCTTAAAAAACTAATAATGCTTTAAACATACATTGCAATTAAAATGAATCAAGTTATTTGTATATTATTTTTATACCTGTCAATTCGGAAGATATTATATACATCTCCTGTACCCTTAAATATTTCCAAAATTGAACCAAGTATGTTTCTTTATGATTGCCACTTTGTGTATTTGTGCGTCAATGAATTATAAAAAAAACAACTGTCGATATTGATGTATATATCAATTTTACCTTAACTTCATGGTTGCTATACATTCAGATCGTGATTGAAGGAATAATCGGGGACGGATATAGAGGGAACATAGCAATAGATGACATTTCTATAAGATCTGGATCGTGTTCAATAGGTAATACTACATATTTACTATACATTTTGAGTAATCTTATTTTTAATTAATATAAACTGAAAAAAAAAACATTTGGTTTATTACTATGCTAGTAATATACTAGAAGCAACTTCGTTACAATTATAAGTCTGGAATAAGGTTCAATGAGTTCTATTTCTTCTTAGATCTCGACGGCGTCTATATATGGATCAAAATGTATTTCTTTTCCCTTCTATACAAACAAATATGTGTACAGTTCAACTGATTTTATTTATAATGATAAAATATTGCCTTCATGTAATTAAATCCACTGAAGTCGATCAAGTAATCGATCAATTATCAATCAACAATCATCAATCACTCTGTCAGCCAACACTTTGAAAGTATACAAATACATCAGCATAAGATAGAGTTAAATACATTTCCTATGTCTGAAAAGTAAAGTCATCATTTATATTTTAAAATTATCATTTACAAAATACACTTACTTGAACATTGAGTGCGTTTATATTTTGATGAAATATTTGTGTTATTTGAATTCATTGTCTATATCTATTTAAAAATAATGATTAAAGATTCTAAGTGGCTGCATTGATCGTCCAAAGATGCACTGTATTTCAGACAAATAATCAGAAATTAGAAGATAAGAAATTTTACATATCAGAAAATAAGGCAGTTCATAACAGCATTAGGTTTAATGTTAAATTAGATAAAACTGAAGCTATATAATTACTATATATTGTAAGGAAGCTTTTTTCACGATTAATTTGAACAGAATAAACACATTTGTTTTTTCTGCATCGTTAATTTGAGTAATATGAGAGGTCTATATCTTTTTTACAAATAATTAAAAGTTGTAAGTTGTTGATCGTCCAAAGATACACTATGTTTCATACAAATAAACAGGAATTAGGAAATATTTATATATATATATATGTGTGTGTGTTTGTGTGTGTGCGCGTTGGTGCGTATGTGTGTGAGTGTGTGCGTGTGTGTTTGTGTGTGTGTGGATGAGACGGGTTCACATTTTTTTCATTAAGGGAGTATACAAAAGCATTAGGTCCAAAAACTGGATGGTTTGTTTGTTTGCTTTGGGTTTTACGTCACATCGACTCAGTATAGGTCATATCGCGACGTTCCAGCTTTACTAGTGTGCCCTTCCATGCATTATTTCAGGCACGAACGGGCACCTGAGTAGAACCACCGACGTTCCGTAAGCTAGCTGAATAGCTTCCTCACATGAAAGAATCCAAAGTCCCAGTCGGAATTCGAACCCACAGCTGTGAGGGGCAAGTGCAACAACTGGATGGATGACATTTCCTTAAGCAGCATATATTTTGATTAGTTGATACCAGGTTTATCACGTGTGTTTTCTTTTCAATGTAAAATAGAAATACAAGTTACAAATGTGTTATATCACACATTTTGTAGTTTCAATACTTGTTTAAAAATGAGGAGGATTGTGAACTAATTGTAAAAGAAATGTTATATCATTGATGATACGGAATGAATGCTCTTTAACTGTTGAATGAATTTTTCCAGTGCCAGACGAAATTAAGCAAATACACATCATACTTCTTTTATTTAAGCATAACTCATTTGCAGATAACAAAAGAATTATATTGATAATAAATTCTCTTATCAATTTTAGATTGTGACTTTAATGATGACTTTTGTAACTGGATGCAATTTGATGGTGATAATTCCGACTGGGGAAGACAAAAAACGGCAAACACTGAAACCAACGCTGATCACACATCTGGAGGTAACAAATTACATAAAATATGATTTCAAACATCAGATAGCTTCTCAAGAAAAATGAATGACAAATAATGTCGTTTTTCATAAGGATAAAAGCACGACTTTTCAAAGCACGGTTACTTTCGGGAAAAAAAATCTGATGCCATTATTTAGGAGATTCGAGGACGACCAGTCGCTTATGCTGTAGCTAATGAAAACATTTTTTGCAAGTCCTGCTTTCATCAAAGCACTTTCATTGCTCTACATCCCATCGACCAAAATATTACATAAAACTGTATGCAAGTTAACAACAAAAATTAATTCAACAAATATACAAGCAATAGCAGATTTCCTATTATCTTCTGTCTGGATGTATTTGGGTATGGATCCCGCACTTATCATGTTATCCCCACTAGGTTAACCAGTCACCAAACAAAAAGTCGTTAGGGGCGACCTTGAAAAATCCGTTAACTGTCCAAAAAGCTATACACAACAATAAGCCCAAATTAGGGCTTAAAATACGCCTGAATTGAGGCTGAAAATACGCCCGAAATTGGGCTTAAAGTGAATGTCATTAAATTGACTGCTCGAAAATGTTTAAATGAGTAAACTTTAGCACTGAATATATGCGCCCAAAGGGCTTTAAAAACAAATCAATACAAATAAATTCACTGTTTAAAATTTTTGGCCGTAAACATCAGTGCATGATCCTGGGCATCAGCGACCAAGCAATACGCATATGGCAAAAACATCCCATTAAATTACTTTATTAAAAGACCTCGTGTTCAGACCTCGCTGTCTGTCTGATGACCTGCCCTTTCTCTTTTAAACCATGCCATATTCACCTCTGCCAATATAAATTCCCATTTATTTCTTATAATTCCTTTGAAGTGTGCATCCTTCTTTCTACTTTGAACAGAAAAACCATCATCAGCACCAAGGCTATGACATACATGATATACATGTATACTAGTATATAATACATATACTTTACAATTAAAGAAGGGAGCTGTTGGTTGGTTGGTGTTTCAATTATTTTTAACAAATTCCGTGTCTTTTAACAAGGCAAAATAATCCTGGTGTAAATTATCGTACTCCAATAACGCAAAGCTATCGATTAACGATAGCAGTTACTAGTATTACTGGTACTGAATTTTATTCAATTTATCTAAAAAAAATCATTAACAATAAAGATGTAACTGCCTCTGAAGTGCAAACCATTTTGAACTCATCTTAATCTGGTTCTGTATTTTTGAATTAATTTATTAATTTATTACATGACTTTCCGTGGACAATGAAATTATATATTTTGTTATTGGAAATAAGGGAAATATCGTCAAAAATACATTCCTTCATGAGTTATATATACATTTATATATACTTTTTTACGATAAACACATTAATATTTGCACATATTGTTTACAAAAATGTTACAAACTTCGTTAAATTTTATAGAATATTTGTGTCTCCTAAAAATTGCTTTCGCCGTCTGTCCGTCTGCATTCAAATAGTCCTGCTTTTACAGGTCAAACTGTTGGCAGCATCTAAATGAAAATTAACAGGAGTGCATATCGCTGGCACATTCCGCTTCGCTGCCCAAAATTGCCGCCAAAGCAATAAATAGAAACATCCTGTCAGGCTTTCCCAGGTCAAACTGCTCGATGGATCTCTATGAAACTTCACAGGAGTGGCAGTACCATCCCTATTGCCTGCATATTCTGCTTCGCTAAACAAAATGGCCGCAAAGAGCTTAAAAGATAAATATTTTGTTTGGTTTTCACAGGTCAAACTACTGGCGGGATTTCAATGAAGCTTCACAAGAGTGATCAGTACCATTAAATAGTTCTGCATATTTCCGGCGCTATACGTTTCGCGACACAAAATGGCGACAAGAGTTTTGAATATTAAATTTTATCAAGCTTTTTGCAGGTCAAACTGTTGGCGGGATTTTGACATTATTTTACAGGAGTGATCAGTACCATCCCTAGTTGTGCATACCGCGGGCAACTCTGCTTTACTGCACAAAATGGTCGCCAAAGCTAAAAATAGAAAAATCCTGTTTTGATTCCCAGGTCAAACTGCTGTTGGGATTTTGATAAAACTTCAGAGGTGTGATCAGTACCTCCTAGTTGTGCCTATCGCAGGGACATTTCCTTCGCTGCACAAAATGGTCACCGGAGCTTTAAATAGAAAAATCTTGTTTAGCTTTTCACGAGTGATCAGTATCATACCTAGTTTTGGGAGACATATGATATTTTGTAACCAAAAAAAACCCTTCAAGTGTTTTAATAAAAACAGTGACTTCATTATTTGATGACATCTTGAATGAGAGCCCATGTTGTTAAGCGGCAAAAATCGGTGATGATTTCCTTAAGAAATTAAGTTAATATAAATTTTGTATGTAAAATCAAAATGCATTTCACTAGTGAGCACAGGCTCTTATGATCGTTATATTTATCTTGTGCTAACTGTCGACATATTTTTTTCTATATATACACGATTTATTTTCATCGAGTGGTATGAATTTAAATATTTTACAAGGGGCTGTAGCCAAAATTGAAATATGAGATATAGCAAATCCTGAAAAACTTTCATTTTCTGTTAATTATATACCATTTTGACCTTGCGATTAATAAGATGTTTCCTTTAATTTAGTGTATTGACTGAACTGACTGAAGAAAGTAGGGCAGTTAAAATATACCAAAACAACACATATTTCTTTAATTTTTACTTGTTTCGACTGTTGTCTTCATCAGAATAACGTACAAAGTATTTGGCGTCACGTCCGTTAGGACGCCAACGTCAACGTGACAAATTTGCGCAAAAAGTGAATGTTAAGTAATTAACAAATAGATATGGATCAAAAAGATACAACGGGTATTAATTATAGAACTATATTTCTACAATATAAAGCAGAGAAATATGATAAAACCCAACATACCCATATGTCAAAATATATCATATAACTTTATATATATATTCACTGGGAATTAGCGAGAAAGCATTACTTTTTTTAGCCAATAAGTTATCTAGAATAATAAAAAAGATAACAATAATAATAACAACAGCATTATCCATTATATATTATCATCATCGTCATCATCATCATCATCACCAACACCAATAAAATAATAATAACCGTAGCGCACCATATTTGAAACATTACATTTGACCATAGCCTACAATGATAACCGTGATAAAACGGCACAGAAGGTGACAAAACTAAAACTCCCGACGACCAAGGCAATCACGGTTCAGACCATCATGGCAAAAAATGTGGTGCATGATAAATCGCGAAGCTCCGGGATAGGGAAGCAGGAATTATCAAAATTTTTCAACCACAGATGTGAAACATAACAAGCCGTATTAAAACGAGACAAACTCTATAAAACGTGACCTTTATTGTTCGTCATTGGACTTTCGCGTTGTGCTCTTTTTGTAACGGATTTTGTGGCAAGTGAGTTTGTACGATAACCTTTTCATTACGTTTCAATCAGGGCACGGCCTGTTTTGCGGGAATATGTTAACGGTTTGTTGAGTTCTAATACGATCTGACGCGGGACACTCGGTTTGAAAGTAGTAAAAAAAACTAGGGTTTTGATCTTCTGAATGTGAAAGACTGGACTAAATCCGATGGTGCATTGCATTTTAAGCGAACGAGGCTGCCGTGGCTTCCGTAATCATATATAAATTAACGTTTTAAAATGTCTGATGTTATTATTTTTTGCAGTTGCCCGACTACAAATTCTTTATGATATCTGAATCAATGGTGAGAGAAAATTGGCCTAAGATCAATGGTCATTGAGAAATAAGAACTCGCCCGAGTATTGAACCAGCGACCCCTTAATTATTTATCCGATTTTCTCACTACTGTGCTATGCTGGCAGCATGTAATCCCATGTGGATGCTAACACAAATATGAATATGTTATATTTTTGTCCACATTGATCATGAAAACATTTTCAAAACATTTATTTTTTTTGTTTATGAAACAAATAGATGTATTGTGCTTTCTTTTAAAGACGATTACTATATCTACATAGCCACAATCGGTAAATATAGAAAGGATACAGCTATATTATTAAGCCCCAAGCAGGACGCTGGGAAATATTGTCTCTCATTCTGGTATGGCATGCATGGCTCCAACATTGTAAGACTTCGCCTGCAAATATGGAATACGACCGGCTCAGAGCAAACAATTTTTGCACTTGAATCAGCCCAGGGCCAACGGTGGTTTAAAAAAATGATTTTTTTATATTCAGTGGATGTTTTTCAGGTGAGGCTGGTTTGATTTTATTGTTATTTACAACATTTGCTAACCTATTTTGGGAAAGATCCTTTTATGGTCATTATAAGGGATTGAAGAATTGACAAAATATTTCAGTTGTATTAATTAAAAAACAACAAAAAAAACTCATGCACGCAAACTTTAGATACAATTTATCGTGTGGTTTACAATGGACACTTTTCTGAACTAAAGCCTAGCTTTCTTCAATGAGAAAACTAAATAATCTGTAATAACATCCTTAAAAAACATTTCCTTGATTATTTTAAGAAATAAAATAATAACCTTATACTGCCTTAAAAGTGGATGCTGCTAGCATGAAACCCTTGCTTATTAGTTGAAATCAAAAACAAAAAAACGGCAGCATAATATTTTTTCTGGAAATGTGCAATATGTATGTGTGTAAATTAACAAACATTTTCTTTTTATACTGTTTTTCGAAATCGGTTTTCAGTTCTTTATTTTAAAGATTATGTAGCCAAAAATTAAACTTTAAAATATATAATAAAATAAAAATTTTTTTTTTTTCAAAACCAGACAAAAAAAAAATTTAATAATTAAAGAAAAAAAAAAAAAAAAGATCCCCTTTTAATTTAGGAACCACGACACCTTTTTTAATGGGTTTCTGTTCGACGAACATATATTTTTTTTATAAATACTACAGCAGAAGAAAATTCTTTAAAAAGAAATTTTGAAATTTTCTACAATAGAAATTTTATTTATTGCAAAATTAGTAATCAGGTTCTCAGAGTTTTCGGCATAATTTCAAAGGCAGAATTTACACTGACTGCATGAATGTTTCAATGCTTAGTTATCTTTTCTGAAAAGAATGTTTTAAATTTTTATTTAATAATAGATTTAACTTTTATAAAAAAATAAATGAAGTTGACGGGAAAAATTTTAAAATAAACTGAAAATTTGCTTGTGCCAGCTAATTAAAATATGTTAGATATTTTTGTGTTGTTTTCATTAAGATAGCTGTGGGGGGGAGGAAACATTGGTGGTATTCGGGGGCATGGGATTGAGACTTTAACCCTTTTTTTCCTGTAAAGGTAAATGTAAATTTTTAAGATTTTTAAAATTATTAAAAATAGAGTTCATCGCTTTTTTTTAAGTATCGGTTTCCTTTAAAAACGCAAATGCCCTTTTCAGTGTTTTTTCCCACTTAAAACCAAAAAAAAACGTGAAGGGACAAAATTTCCCCCGATAGATTTCTTGAGTAGTATCTTTAGAATAACAACCCCAAACAACACCGTTTGAAAAATATGATGTTGAATAAATTTTTTAAAAATTTACCCGTATTAAGTTTATTTTATTTATTTTTTCTTTTTACAAACTGAAGGCGAGTGACTCTATATGAAAATGTATTATTATCGTCTTTGTGTACTTTTTGCTCCCGTTGCCTTATTGGCAGACCATTTATTATAAATTTCATGTTTGTATATTAATATTTTCCTGATAATGTATTACATTTGAGTGAAACTCAAATAGGAGTAAACAATTTTACACTCCTGTTTTTTTTAATTCTAATATGCCAATCTCTGGAGAGATTTGACTAAACCTTAAGTTTTTTTATTAAATGTCATTTAATTTTGTATAAAAAGCAGTGTGCGTTCTGTATTTGTATATTGGTATTATATTTGTTTTTAATCAAGACAGCTATATTATGCTCTATTACGAATTTTATATAATAAACGATACAAACCTTCTCGTTTTGCCTTTTTAGAATTCTAAGTCTTGATTTTAACATTAACTCATATATGTAATAACACTAAATCACTCATTATAATTGATCATTCCGTCAACCTAAGAAATTTACTTGCTTTTAGAATTATTTTACTTGTATATAGATACTTATTTTGTTCTTAAACATATTGTTCAACATAATGTAAATGTAGTCACTACATTTTGTCATTTTTTTGTTATGATAAAATGCATTTTAGATTGTACGGATCTCGAAATAGCCAATGCCGTCACTAATTCATCAAATTATGGGTACGGATCAGTGGTAAAGATACAATGTGATAATGGATACAATCTTGTGGGAGATTCAGAGATCGTTTGTAAGACGATGGGAGATTGGAGTGGAACTGCATCGTGTATACCATATGGTATTTAAACGTTCAAATGTTTTGAAGGAAATGCAATATGTCCATCTTTAGGCTTTGTATGTCCCACATGCACTAATTTGCATTTCCATATTGTGATCAAAAGTTAGTAATGCAAACTTTTATCAACTTATTTATAGATCAACTTTATCTTGATAATATATAGAACAGTAATTCAATGAAATTGATATCCTGGATGAGTTGTTCCTTTCATTTCATATCCTATAAGTTCTGACTTTCGTTATCATTTTTATAGATTGTGGGGATCTTGCAATTCCTAATGGAACTCTGTTTACTCCAAATGGAACAAGGTTTGGACATAGCGGCATACAAAAGTGCAACATTGGGTTTGTTCTGATTGGAGATCCAAACATCAAATGTACTGCTAATGGTTGGACAAACACAACGTCATATTGCAATTTTATTGGTAAGAATATTACAAAGTATTTATTGTCGCATACATTATCATGTTCACTGACCACGAGAAGATGAAAGGAGCAGTCTTTTGATACATGATTTGAAGTGAAACATATCATCAGTACCCTAAATTTATTAGTATCTGATTTTTAATTCGTTATATTCCGAGACATGAAAAAAATGTTTGGACAAATAGGCAGAAAAGAATTTAATGGGGGTTTTTTTGAACAAATTAAAAGTTATGCATGGATGTCAAACACCATGCATACTGTAGACAAGTTGGTAAAGCAGTATGTGTACTTTTTCGCTTCTAATCGGATTACTTAAGCAGGAGGACAACACTGTATGTACGAAAAACAGAAACATGCCTATCATGTCAAAATAAAATGTATTTAATTAATGAAAAAGGTGATTTGAACAGATATAACTTAAATAATACTTTAATAATTTAATAATATTTGCTATACAAACACTTACAAGGGTACAAAAAGAGATCATCTCACAATATCTTAAAAAGAATTAACTGCTATTAGCATTTGTCTGTTGAATGTTTGCTCACAAAACACTTTTAAATCTTCATAGGTGACGTATTAAATGCATATAAAAGCAAAAACAAATGTTACATAAAACAACACATTTTACTGTAAAACTGCTCTAATAATATTTGAAGATATTAACAAACATCCTTAATTTTTTATATGCTAATTATTTTGGGCTTATAACAAGATGTAATTGAGAAAACCAAGACCGTGGTTTCTCTCCCATTCAGACTTTATTCACACACCATGTCTGTCATGAATAATTACTTTGTAAAGTGAAAGATGCACGTGACCTGAAAAAATACATTATATTAACTGGTTTACGTTATATAATTGAAAAAATAAATTTCAATTTTTTTTTTTAAATAAGCAGCATATAAAAGATCAAAATGTAACTCAATTTTTAATGGTTTTATATCATAAAATATAATGCTCAAATGAAGATGTTATCATATTGTTCCAAAAAAGCATTATTTGTAAAGATATTATCGAAATTACATTTCAATGTTAATAAAGGGAGGTAATTAGAAATTAATTTTTTCTTAAAGTCTTAGTCAAATTTTTTCCATACGAAATGATGCATATATTTTTAATAATTACATATACTTTGAAACAAATATTTGAGTACAATATTTAACAATATTATTCGTTGTTTGAAAATTGTTTTAGGAAGCATAATTATATACATATATAAAAATGCCCTTAAGCTGCTGTTAAACCTTATTACAACTACGGATCTTTGAAAAATAAAATTATAAAGTAGGATTAACAACAAATTCTAGTCATGTCTTTACATGTAAAACTGAAATAAAGAAAATAATTAAACAAGACCGAAAACTGTAGTTCCCGTAAAAATCTTATCTCACCAATACATTAATACCCCTTTCCCAGTGTTTGCGTTGTAGCAATTTAAAAAAGAAAGATTGTGCACAAAAAAAATATACGTGACAAATAAATTTTTAAACCCGTTAAAAGAAAATTTTGATTTTATGTACAGAAAAATGCAATTTAACAATAAATATTCAAAACACTGTGTGCCAACCGTATATAAAGTTCAAAATTCATGGCCGCCGAAAATACAACACAGCCACGGTCACAATGGTCTTGTCACATACATCAAATTCGAAACAGGGAGATTTTGAAAACAGTAGATGCATACGATATGGGATTATTCAGTAATGAACAAATATTATGTCAAACAAATGCATGTATTAAGTGTCTTATGCGCTAATTATTTCATTTCAAATGTGTATGAAAATTAATTCAAAATCACAATTGTATTCATTTTTCAACTGTTGTATGTACAGAAACTTTCTACAAAAATTGATGACCGAAATATCGTTTTATGTCGCATGTTCATTTTAATTCAGTCGTAAAAATGATAAGTAAATATTTTAGGTTGTACACTATTGTAGTTTCAGATGAAGAGACAAACAGCAGTCCTTTAATCGCCATGTATGTTTTAATTCCTGTCGTTTTCCTCATGATTGCAGCTACTTTTATTGTTTTGTACATGAGGTAAATTTTTAACATACATTTAATCTTAATTATTGTTTAATTTTATTATAAAAAACCTGCTTTTGCATCGGGTTTTTTGTAAAAAAGTAAAAAGTATTTTAGTCTCCCAACAATTTTTCTTTTAATTTCCCCAGATGTACCCTAACATGTAATTTTTTTAATTTTTGGGCTTTAAATATTTACATGAGCGTTTTAGGCAAAGGGGAAATTCAAAGTGTGTCAGCTGACGCTCGAGATATTTAATTCCAAAAATTGCGAATTTAAAAAGGCCCCAGAAAGTAAAAATTTGAATTTTTATCTTTTTTTCCTAAAGGAAAAATCATTATTTTCTGACTTATTGATAGTTATAATTTTTTAGTGCATTCTGTACTGGGTGATATGTTGGGTTGGTGAAAATAGGTAGACGCTTTTATCTCATTAATTATCAT